ACAGGCCCGACTTCAGCGTTGTGGTCGGTCCCTGCCCTTGCTCGGTGCACCTTAGGCGCACACCTCTCCGCACGCCCGAGATCTCGACAGGGACGCACCGGGGCGGCCCCCGTGCGGAGCGGGCCTGGGGGGAGGCACGCTGGCAGGGACCTGCGGTCAGGTCGGCCCTGTCCCTCTACAGGAGGAATGCCCAAGAACAGTTATAACCTATAGTCTGGGGGCGATGTTTCTACTACGTTTGAACATTTTGGCATATATGGTCCAGGGTTTGGCCCTCCCCCCCCCAATGCTGATGCCATTGGGCCCCCCCCCCCCCCGTGCGATGGTCCCCCCGCCCCCCCCCTGTGGGCGTGGCGTGGTGCTGCGCTGCGGTTCCCCACCCCCCTGTGGATGTGGTGTGGTGCTGTGGTGGTTCAGAGGTGGGCGTGGCGTGGTGTTGCACTGCGGTGCCCCCCTCCCCCCCCCCTGTGGATGTGGTGTGGTGCTGTGGTGGTTCAGAGGTCGTCGTCGTCGTCGTCGTCGTCATCGTCGTCGTCCTCGTCGTCCTCGTCGTCCTCGTCGTCCTCGTCGTCCTCGTCGTCCTCGTCGTCGTCGTCGTCATCGTCGTCGTCGTCATCGTCGTCGTCATCGTCGTCGTCGCCGTCGTCATCGTCGTCATCGTCGTCGCCGCCGCCGCCGCCGGCGTCGTCGCCGCCGCAGCCGTCGTTGTCGTCGTCGTGGTCGTCGTCGTCGTCGTCGTCGTCGTCGTCGTCGCCGCCGTCGCCATCGTCGCCGTCGTCGTCGTCGTCGTCGTCGTCGTCGTCGTCGTCGTCTCTGGGACCATACCATCTGGGGGGGGGGCCCGAGGAATCCTGGGACCATACCATCTGGGGGGGGGGGGCCCGTGGGCCCTCGACCCTGGATCATATATTTAGCTTATTTTCAATTTTCTGTCCCTGTAGGAGGACATGCCCGACCTAAACCTACGGTTAGGTCGGGCATGTCCTCCTACAGGCGGGGAGTTTACTTAAGGAGCCCTAACTAAGGAACGAGGCCCCTTTTTTCCAGGTTCGTGTCGTGCCGACTTCGGCGTTGGTTTCTGACACCGCGGTAATCGTTCAACCTTGAACGATCGGCCGTTTCCGAAACGTCGAAATCGTTTCACATCGAACGATTCTGGGTCGCTCGCGGCGTTCAACTTTGAACGCCGCTGGCGGGGTCGCCGCCGGTCGACATGATACGAACCTAACGTACGGTTAGGTCAGGCATGTCCTCCTACAGGCGGGACGTTGATCTAAGGAACCCTAAATAAGGAACGAGACACCGTTTTTTTCCCATAGGTTAGACTTCGATTTCCCATGGAAAACCAGAGGAGCACCTAAGGCAAACTGTAAAACAATCAAGGCACACCGAGCCCGTCCCCAACGAAAAGGGTTCCTTCTTCAGCGCCCCGACTGTACAGGCGGGTTTGGTAAGACCCATCAAAATAGTCAAAACATACCCAGCACGAATCAAACAAATAGTAGAGAGATCGTCCTCAGACTATTGGATTTGGATTTGCTATTTTTGAAGATCCCTCCTGTAGAGGGACATGCCCGACCTAAACCTACGAGGGAGGCACTTATTAGCTGGGACTGGACGGTGTATTGCAACATCGCTGCTGCATCCAGGGTCGCTCTGCTGCTCCTACGCTCCGCCCCGCCCGCCGCCATCCTGCGCCAACCCTCTCTCCCGCTCCTTCCTCTCCCCTGATCTTCTCGGGGATAGACAGATCCCCCTTTAGTAAAACGTGGATTCGTGAAAACGACCTTTGGCCAAAACTTGGCGGGCGCGAGCCTGGAAAGTGACGGCCGCGGCGCCCTCTCGAGAACCGACAACGGACAATTCACTAATCGACGTGTCAGGGTGGGGGTTCTGTCCACCCCCCATCCTCCTGCCATCGCTCGGACGTCCATTCCCCGTGCATTGTTCGGCCTCGTGCGCTTCTTACTTCTCGCAGGGTGGCCCAAGATGCTCCTCGATGGCCCCCGCCGCGGAGGCAACATGCACACGTCCGAGCGATGGCCCCAGGAAGCCTTTGTTCCTCCCCACCTGGCTCCCTCCTTGGCCTCTCCCCCCCGTGCCCCCCCCCCCCCCCCCCGTCGTGCCCGCCCCCCTCCTGGGGTCCCTCTCCCCCCCGTGCCCCCCCCCCGTTGCCCCCCCCCCCCCTCCCCCCCCGTCCCCCCCCCCCCCCCGCCCCCCGTGTTCCCCCCCCCTTCCCCCCCCTTCCCTTCCCTACCCCTCCCTCCCCCCCCCCACCGTGGCCTTCTTGCCCCGCCTTGCCCCGGCCCCCCCTCTCCCCCCGCCGCCCCAACCCCACCTCCCCGTGCTCCCCGCGCCCCCTACCTCCATCTCCCCCCCTGCCCCCCCCCCCCCTCCTCTTCCTTTGGTGAAGCCAAAAGGTAGAAAATCACCGATGCCGCTGCTCCCCGGACTCCTCTCCCAGGGTGCGCTCCTGGGCGCCCGGGCTGTCTGGGGCAACTCGGGCCCAAGGCAACTCGGCTTTGCGGAGGAGGCGGAGGAGGCGGAGGAGGAAGAGGCGGAGCAGGAGGAGGAGGCGGAGCAGGAGGAGGAGGAGGAGGAGGAGGAGGAGGAGGAGGAGGAGGAGGAGGAGGGGGAGGGAGAGGAGGAGGCGGAGGAGGAGGAGGAGGAGGAGGAGGCGGAGCAGAAGGAGGAGGAGGAAGAGGAGGCCTCCACCATCCTTCTGCTCCTCCCGCCTCCCCCGCCTCGGGAAGCTGGGCGGGCGCCCTGCCCCGCAGAGAGCACCGGCGCCGACCCTCCCCCCCCCGTCGGAGCCTGCTCGCCTGCTCCCGCTGCCCTCCCCGCACCCCTCCCTGCCCCGGCCCCTCGGCCCTGCTCTCTCTCGGCTCGGTCGCCTGCCGCCGCCGCCCTGCGAGGCAAAGGCCTGTCCATATACCCACCGCCTGGGAACCGACGCCCTGGCGCCCCAGGGGCCGGATGGCCTAGAGTTCAGGGCTGGATGGCCTAAAATGAAGGGCCGGATGGCCTAAAGTGAAAGGCCGGGAGAGCCGCGATAAGGGCTCGGAAGGCCCCGGGAGTAGGAACAAGTAGGGACCCCACAATAGGTGACCGTGGGACCCTATGAGATGTATGTTGGCCCCCGGGGGCCGGAATATGTCCATATCCACCGCCTGCCGAGTCCCAGGAAACTGATCCTCCAGACGGTGGCCATGTCTCAATTCCCGCCTCGGACGCCAGCACTGCATCGCAAGGCGATGCCAGGGCGAGGAGGAACTTCGGGGGAGGAGGGATCGAGAACCTCCGAGCTCCGGCGACTCTGGAGCTCTGGAGGATGCCTCGGGCGCCGCGGCCTTCTCGGGAGCGCCCCAGAATGCATTCCGGAACGCTCTGGCACGGACTTATCCTCGTCCTAGCCCCGCCCGACACCGTGTCGGCATCCGGCCCTTCTGCGGGCAGCGTTCGGGGGAGACCGGCTCAGGGGGGGAACGCCCAGCTGGCATCGGCGGCATACCGCCGAGAGGTCGGCCATAGGCTCCCGATCGCGAAACCGCACCTTCCCAGGCGGGGTGGGCTATCGAGATCCCATCGGCGATCAGTGGGCGACTGGGCAAGTAGGGGCCCGATGCGTCCTCGGGCGTCCTCCCCCTAAGCCCTGCACCCCCCTGGCATTGCCCCTGAAATCCCCTGCCGGCACCACCCCCAGTGGTCCTCGTTCTGGCTTTCGGGTCACAGCTCGGGTCTCCAGCGGCCGTTCTGGAACGCCCTCGGCGAGGCACAGCTGCTGACAGGCATCCCGAGGCTGGGAAACCTTGCAGATTCGACGAAAACCTTTGAACACCTCCAGACCCTGAGCCCCCAGCTCCATCCCCAGACCCCCGACGTCATGATTTCTCCTTGCGTCGACCTCCCGAGGTCTCGACCTATTCCCAAGGGACGGGTTCTTCATCCCGAGTCGTTTTTTGAAGGTCCCGAGGCCCGGTAAGGGCCCCCAAAAGCTGAAAATCATAAAAACACCTCCCGTCGTGATCTTTCCATTGCTCGACGGGGCCTGGGCAACCCCCAGCCCTATCCGCTCCCAGCAACCCGGGTGCCGCCCCCCCGGGGCCGCCCAGAAGTCCGGCTCGCCCTGGCCCGTCGCGATGCTGAACATGCGAGGCACCCGCTCGAAGCCGAACGGACGGGCCCGGGGCGGCCGGATCCCGCAGGGCACAGCGAGACCCGGCCTCCTCTCACTTGGCCACGCGACCCGTCGCTTCGCCAGAAGAAGAAGAAGAAGAAGCGGCATACATACCCAGACCTCCAACGCATGGGAAAAACAGGACGAGAAGATGTTTCGCCGTTTCCGGCTTCTGGCGGCCCTCGCCGGGGCCCGAAGCCCTCGAACAAAGACTCGGGATGAAAAGCCGGGCCTGGGGAAAGGGCCCGCGCACGAAACAAATCAAGACATTGGATCTCGGGGGATAAGGATCAGAAGAAAAAGTTCGGTCAGCGCTGGTAAACACAGGAGTTCTTCGAGTGCCGCCAGGGCCGCACGAGAACTGACCTGACCAATCAGCCGTAGAACTGTCGCCCCAGGGCCACAATGAATCAGGTCAGCACTCGGGCCCCCCAAGCACGAGCTGAAAGAAATCGGCCGACCCGATTGCTGACCAAACCTGACCGTGAACGTACACGTCGGTCGGAACAAGTAGGTAAGAACATGAAATAGGAAGGCGGATTCTGTAGGTGGGGCCCAGGCCCTCCCAGAGAAGAGCCAAACGCAGCAAATACGCATCCATCGCACTTAAGGACCACCTCCCAGCAATGGATTCGACCACCCATGAATATCGAAACGGTGTCGAACGAGTGTCGCCTCCCAGGGCCCGACGCGTGAAAGCCCTCAAGTTTCTTGGTGCTCGAAACTCTTTCTGGTGATCAAGGCTAAAGTAGGTTGGAGCATCATGAGGCGAAGTCCGAATCTCGCTGGCCCCTAAGGCTCCGAAGCTGCCCCGGGGGGCTACCCGCTGAGGAAGGCGGCGTACGCCGACAGCGACACGGTCGGGTCGTCGAGGTCGACGCTCTCGCCGCTGAGCTCGGGGTCCTGCGAGGGCGGGGTGGAGAAAGGTAGTTCGCGTGACTCGTTTCCCCCGTGAGGCCATGAGCGAACGGGTCCGGGCCTGCACCTGCGCCGCGCTGTGACTCCACAACAGCGGAGGCTGAGCGCAAAACAGGCGGACCCTTGCCACTGCGCCAAGACAGCTAGCATGAACGGAGCGAACCCTGGAGGGAACGGGTCCTGTTCGCCGTGTCCGGGGGCGTCCAACAGGAGATGCTCCGTCAACATCGTGGCCCGAGGAGGGTACACGCCGGAGGGGTGGGTGGGCATGGGGACGTACGGAGATGCAGAGAGGCGATATTCAATCTGGGGAGAGGGCTCGGGCCATGATGAGTATCGCCTCCCTCCCCAGTCATCGCCCCCATGACATGCTCGGGGGTTGCTGAAGGGTGCCGCTGGCTCAAGGCGCCCCCAGCCTTCCGCTCCATGCTGGAGCCCCTCGGGCCCTCTGGGCCTCGCGAGGGGTGCTGTGGAGGCCGTGGGGGCCTCCTCGGAGATCCCGGGGGCACCTCGGGCCAAGGGCTCTTCTAGCAACACCCAACACTTTTTTGATTCGCAGGTCGAGAGCGCACCTCTTCCGGTCGAAGCTAAGCGGGCCGCGCGAAGCTTGAATTAACCAGCGATGGGGAATTAACCAAGAGGGGGAGGAAGGGAAGGATCGCAGCCTCACGGCGAGGCCGGGATGAAAAAAAAAGGGGGGGGAAACGAAATAAAATGTTGTGGAAAAAAAAATGAAAAAGTAAACCAGAACGAAAAAAAGAGATAGATAAAAGAAAGAAGAAAAAAAAAAAGATAAAAAAAAAAAAATAAAAAAAGAGGCAAAGGGGCAAGCGCCTCGGGATCAGGCGGTGCCGAAATCGGCGTGCTTGCAAAAGTAGCAACACCCAACACATGAAGAGGAAACACGGAATCTGGGGAGGGGATCCCGGCCATGAGATCCCCCCTATGAAACATCACCCTCTTGGCCGCCCCCGACGTCTGCGGGCGCCCTGTGAAGCCGTCCACGGGTCCCGAGGCCGTTCATCAGTAGAGCGACGCGGGACAAAAAGTGGCCCCGGGGAGGCCGACGAGACGGGGGGGGGATCAGCTCCGCCCCCCCCCTCCCCCATCTCCCGCTCCTCCTCCCCCTCCGCCTCCTCCTCCTCCTCCGTCTGTTCCTCTGTCCCTCCTCGTGCCTCCTTCTCCTCCCTCATGGCTCCTTCTCCTGCTCCTCTTCCTCCTCGTCCTCCACTTCTTCCTCTTCATATTATTTAGCATCAGCAGCATCAGCAGCATCAGCAGCATCAACATCCGCATCAACATCAGCATCCGCATCATCATCATCATCATCATCATCATCATCATCATCATCATCATCATCATCATTATCATCATCATCATCATCAGCAGCATCATCAGCATCATCAGCATCAGCAACATCACCATCAGCATCATCGTCAGTATCATCATCATCATTCTCAGTATCATCATTATCAGTATCATCATCAGTATCATCATCATCATCATCATCATCATCCTCATCATCATGATCACCATCCTCAGCATCATCATCATCATCACCAACATCATCACCAACACCATCATCAGCAGCAGCATCATCATCACCACCATCATCATCAGTACCCTCAACAGCGTCATCGTCATCGTCATTATCACCACCATCTGCATCTTCACCAGTACCATCATCAGCGTCAATCTCATCATGAGCATGATGATGATCATCATCATCATCACCATCATCATCAACAACACCACCATCACCATCACCATCACCATCGTCACCACCACTATCATTATCAGCAGCATCATCATCAGCATCATCATAAGTATCATCATTCCCATCGCATCATCATTATCATCCTCAGCAGCATTATAATACACCTCGTCATCCTCCTCGTCCTGCTCATCCTCCTCATCCTGCTCATCCTCCTCATCCTTCTCGTCAATCTCAACATCGTCCTTGTCCGCGTCCTCGCCCTCATCCTCGTCCTCATCCGTCTCATCCGCATCATCCTCTTCATCGTCATCATTACCATCAGCATCACCATCATCGTCATCGTCATCATCATCGTCATCATCGTTACCATCATCACCATCAACATCACCATTTCCATCAACATCACCACCACCAACATCCTCATCATCCTCATCAGACTCGTCATCCTCATCGTCATCCTCATCCGCGTCCTCATCATCACCATCATCCTCATCACCTCAATATACCATCATTTCCATCATCATCATGATCAGCATGATCATCATCATGATCATCATTATCATCGTCATCCGACTCATCCTCATCATCATTATGATCCTCATCACCCTCATAATCTTCAGTCATATTGATCCTCATTATCCTTATGATCCTCAGCACCCTCATCCTTATGATCCTATTGATACCCAGAATCTTCACAGTCCTCATAATCACCATCCTCATCCTCGTCCTCGTCCTCCTCATTCTCATCACCGTCCTAATCACCGTCAACATCACCATCACCACCACCACCACCATCATTACCATCAGCATCAGCATCAGCATCAGCATCAGCGCCAGCATCAGCGTCAGCATCATCATCATCAGCATCATCATTATCATGATCATCATGATCGTCATGATCATCATGATCATTATGATCATCATGATCATTATGATCATCATGATCATGATCATGATCATGATCATCATCAGCATCATCATCATCAGTATCAGCATCATCATCATCATCACCATCATGGAGATGACCCCTGATATCGCAAAAACAGGTACAAGGTGGCAATTCGGGCAACTTTCAAAATATGCCTAGCGCCTTCGCGCCGCTTACACTTGCGGTCAACAACTCTATGGATGAAGGGCAGGCCTCTTTTAAGATGGGGCTCTCGTCGTATCGCGGCGATCACTCGTCTGAATTCTTAACTGACGCGTGCAAGGTTGGAGCGCGGCTCTGTTTCAAAATGGGAATTTCGCCTGGGACGCCTTCAGCACGCACATCACCGGAGGATCTCACTCGAAACCTCCTCGGCATCGTCGCAAGACTTACGATAGAACTGCGCAACAATGATGCGGACGCCGGTTTCCCAAACGAGCCTTTCGCACTACACCCATTGATACTTCTTAGCTTTAGGTAGGTCGGGCGTGTCCCCCTACAGGCGGATCTGGACGAAAAATTACAAGTACCCCCCACATACTAAAACAAATCAAAGCATACTCTAAACAAATCGTCCCCAAGGTATTTTTTGACTATTTTGAAATATCCCTCCTGCAGAGGGGCGGGCACGACTTAATCTTAGCTGCAGTGCGCAAGCCAGTTCCGCTCCACAGCAGGCCTCTCGACCGCATGGCAGGCGCACAGGGGGCTCTGGCCCGTCCACGGAGGGCTCCCGCAGGCAACTCTGCTGATCGGACGGGAGGGCCTCCTCCTCCTCCTCCTCCTCCTCCTCCTCCCCTCCTCCCTCCTCCTCCCTGTCCCCTCCTTTTCCTCCCCCTCCCCTCCTCCTCCTCCTCCTCCTCCTCCTCCTCCTCCTCATCCTCCTCCTCCTCCTCATCCTCCTCCCTCCTCCTCCTCCTCCTCCTGGCTCCTGCTCCTTGCATGCTCCTCCCTCCTCCCTCCCTCCTTCCCTCCTCCTCCTACTCCTCCGCCTCCTCCTCCTCCTCCTCCTCCTCCTCCTCCTCCTCCTCCTCCTCCTCCAGCTCTTATTTCCTCCCGATGCCTCTGGTCGCACGTGCTGGGCCGACGGGCAGGGCAGTCGATCGGCACACTCACGCAGTGCAGACCAGGGGTGTACCTACACGGTGTTTTGCGCTTTCGTTTTGTTTTTGTTTTCCCTCGCTTTTGTCTCGAATCCGCCTTTACCGCACAACGAAGTCGAAACGAAAATGGCCCACGAAATCACCAAAAACACCGTTTAGGTCCAGCCCTGGTTGCAGACACGCTTGTGCTGTCCAGCAGAGCGGTTCAAAATCTTCGGCGACCACGCCGTCTGAAGCGACGACCTCTGCCCTGACTGCGAGAGAGAACGGCCATGCTGACAAACCGATGCCGCGGAATGCCAAAATGGAAGCGTGCTCTGGCGATCGACTCTGACGACGCTAGCCTCGATGATCCCCCTCCCCTCTGTTTTTTCCTGCGTTGATGAAATTGGCGGGGTAGGAGTCGAGGAACAAAAGAAACATTTACATCAAACGGATTTCTGGGATTTGCACTGAGCCCCCCTCCCTGGCGCGCGGAGCGCGCCAGGTGCGGCGCCGGAGGCGCTGCCAGGGAGTCCGAGCGCGGATCCAAGAAATCCGCGCGGGCCGTCGAAAGTTCAACTGTGTTTATGCCGTTTTTCTTCTTCGATAGGGGAGGCCACAATTTGGTGGGGCGTGCTGGGCCAGTCCCACAATGGGCGGCCCATAGTGCACTCGCAGGAGGAGAAGGAGGAGGAGGAGGAGGAGGAGGAGGAGGAGGAGGAGGAGAATGAAGAGGAGCAGGAGAATGAGGAGCTGGAGGAGCAGGAGGAGGAGGAGGAGCAGGAGGAGGAGGAGGAGGAGCAGGAGGAGCACCCTCTCCTCTCAGTTCTAGGACCTGCCTCCTCCGATGCCGGTCAACCCAAACGCTCAAACGCTCCACAAGTCCAGGTCGACCGGTGACCCTGCCTGCACGGAGCCCCCCGCACCACGCCCGGGCCTCGCAAGGACGTCCCTGCGTCGTTCGTCGTCCTCCTCCTCCTCCTCCTCCTCCTCGTCCCCTCTCCCTCCCCCCTCCCCCTCCTCCTCCTCCTCCTCCTCCTCCTCCTCCTCCTCCTTCTCCTCCTCCTCCTCCTCCTCTTCTCTCCTCGTGTCCCCTCCTCCTCCCCTTCCTCTTCTCCTCGAGGCCTCCCGCCTCCCACTCCCCATCCCGCGCGCGCGCTCTCCCGCGCACAGAGGGGGCGGCGGCGGCACACGGGCCTTGGCAGGATCGTTCGTGTAGCGGTGGTGCGTCCAGTGGAAGCACCAGAACCACTTGGCGCCCCGGAAGATGAAGAATCCTGCGGCGAGCGGGGTCGACACTCGACGGTAATCATCTAGTCATTTTGATCATCGTTTAGTCATCGCTGCTGAGCATGTCATCGTGGGATCACTGGTCATCGTTTTACATTTGACACTGGTGCAGAAACCACCGCGAAATAGCGATGACTAGCGATGAACCAATCTTAGGTCGAGGGACGTGCCCGGCTTAAGACCAATCAAGGCAAAGCCAAGACGAAGATACATTTGGACGGGGATAGATCGGAAATCTCTGAAACCCGGCGGTTTGGGAGGATGTCTCCGGCGCCGCGGCCTTCTCAGAGCGTTCTGCAACGCTCTGAGAGCGTTCTGGAACGCTTTGGAACGGATTGATCCTCGTCCTAGCCCCGTCCGAAGGACCCCAGACGAATGCAGTGTGTGCGTGCGTGCGTGTGTTTGTGTTTGTGTGTGCGACAGGAGGCTGTAATCGGAGAACCCTGCAGTCAGAGGCGTGGCCAATGTGATCATGTGCCTTCAGCCTCTGGAGGGGCAACAAAAACGATGACCATGACCAAGACTCGGGGGCGAGCGAAGGGAGGAAGTGAGAAGGAGAAGGCCTTCTCAGAAGGCTCGGAAGTCCTCCAGCCTTCTGAGGAGTTTTCTAAGCCTTCCCCGAAGACACAAACAATTTCTCAGAAGGCGCGAGGGCTTCTGAGAAGTCCCGCCGCCTTCCGAGAAGGCCTTCTCCTTCTCACTTCCTTTCCTCGCTCACCGCCGAAAGACTGAACGCTGAAACGTCGGTGTCGATCTTGGTGATCGTCCATCTTGGTCATCATCATGTCGTGGATCGTCCTCGTGAATCGGCGGCCGGCAGGGAACCATGCCCAAGATCGGCGTCGACAAGATCCCGCGCGGCATCTTGGTCATGGTCGTGGTGCGTCTTCCCTCGAGTCCTGGTAGCAATTCCCACGGTTCCCACCGGACCATGGCGAGAACAGGAGCGACGGTGTCAACACCGCAGATCGGCCAGACAGTCTGCGTTGGACGCCGCCCCCAACCTCCCACGACTCGGCGCGTCCAGCTGGAACTGCGCCCGCTACAGGCTGCCCGCCCTACACGCACCGTCTCGCATGCTCGCACGTTCGCCTGCCCTCCGCCCGCCCTTGCGACGCCTTCCACACGCTTCGCGGGATCCATAAACACGGTGAAACACTCGAATCAGAAGCGCACTTTGAAGAAACGGCCGTGTGCTTTGTGCCGACCTCCTGGGCCAACAGCAAAATACTGCAACTGGCGGTCGGAAGGGAGCTGTGGAGACATGCCAGAATCACGCCGCTCGCATCTGGAGTGCCCAGAATGCACCACCGCCCGAAACTCTGAACGCCCATGGCACGTGATGATCAAGAAAGCTCCGCTTTCCCTCGATTCCAATGCCCGCACGTCCTAAAATCTCCGCGAGCACTGTGTTCAGATAAGGGGTCTGAAAGGCCGTGTTGTGGACCATCTCGTGGAAACCGTTGAAGATGAAAGACTCGCACACACCTCCGTTCCCTGGTCGCCATCCCCACTCCTCTTGATGCTCGTTCTGGGGACCCTCCCGGAGCGACTCGCTCCAGTCATGCGTCGATTCTGCGCCGAGCGCCAATCGACTTGAGTAAACCCTTGAGCTGGAGTCGAACTATGTTCGAACCAGAACCGATCAGATCTGTCAGGTGGGCCCCAGGAAGGTGCCCCGCGCGAACATCTAAACCCCCTGCTTCGCCGACTCGTCGCGATTGGACTATCTGCTTCTCGTTGCCTTCTGCCTTCTACGTCTCCTCTCTGGCATCTTCTCTCATATGGTACTACTCGAACGTGCTGAGGATACAACGAATTTCCCAATGTGCGCGCGTTCCTCGACAATCAGTTTCTAGTAAACGCGCGCCTGGACACATGCATGTGCGCGACAACAAAATTCAGATGGATATATACATGAAATCCAACGACCCTTCGGCGTGTGGAAGACGCTGGCGTCGTCGTCGTCGTTGTCGTCGTCAGTCCCAGTTCCAAGGGAATTGAGGATCACTGAAAAGGAACGGCGTAGTCAAGTCGACTCAATTCCCTTTATCTATTCCGTGCGGGGGTGGGGGGGGGGGTCCTGGGGGGAAGGGGTGACTGGAGGGGGGGTGTCCCTGGTCAGAACACCGCCCCTCCACCCCTGGGTCCTGGCGGCTCCTGGGGGGAATCGCCAGCAGCGGGGGTCATGGGGGAGTCCCGCCTTCAGGATCGGCGGCGCCGTCCGAAAGGCCTTCACAATCAAAACACATCCGTATGGGTCGCTCCCTAGCAAACTCGATTCAAAATCGGCCGCAGACTCCTAACAATCACAATTCTCCCAATGTTTGAACTGCGCATCATGCCGGCCCCCCTCCCCTCACCGAACGGAATCTCCGCGAGCACCAGCAGCAGCCACCACCTGTGACTCCTGCACCACCAGACCGCCCCAGCGCACAACGCGAGGCAGGCGGAGTGGAAGAGCAGCTGCTGGAAGCCCTGCGAAGCGGCGACGACGCAGAGCGACGACACCGAACGACGGACGACGATAACAACAAAAATTCGAACGACGCAGACAACAACGCACGACGACGGACGAAGGCAACGACGACGACCCGTCCGCCGACGACGCCGACGACCGACGACCCATCCGGCGCCTGACGCACGACGGCGACGATGGGAAACGGCAGGAGAGCCCAGAATCGAATCGATAAATCGGATCGGCGGTCAAAATGAATCGGATCGGCGGGAATCGGCAGCCAAGTCGAGAAAAGTCGAATCCGCGGACATCGGCAGGCCAATATGCCTCCAAGGAGAAACCCGAGCCCAAATCGGAATCTCAAGTCGAATCGAATCGGAATCGGAAGCCATCGAAATCAAAGTCGAATCGAATCGGAGGAATCGAAACGAACCCTGAAACGGGCCCGGAAGGAAACAGGTGCTGGACCCAGAAGCTCCTCCCGGGCCCAGGCCGTCCGTCTCTTGTCAGCCACACGCTCACAGATTAAGGGGCCCTGGGGCACACAAAGAACTAGACACAAGCATCCCAACATTCCCCCTAAAATTTGACATCTTGTTTGTGTTTTCGTCTCCCCCCCACTCCCCATGTTTTCTCATATTTTCCTGGGTATTGACGGCAATTTGTGCCTGTGCGGTTTTTTCCCTCATGAACTGAGCATCGTTCAACCGATTCCCATCCCCAGCGGCGTGGCCTGGGCCCCGCTGGCCGATTGGCCCCCCTGGATGGGGATACATGGCTGCGTCCTTCGGGTTTCGAGGGGTGCATCCCCAACTGGGGTGGTAATTTGGTGGCGGTCTCGAAGAGGACGAGGATGGGGATGGGGGTCGGTGAAACGATACCCACCGGTCGGAAGTAGGTAGAAACATGAAGTAGGAAGGCGTTGGAAGCAGATTGGGTCTCCGCCCGCCCCCTGGAGCGGAGGGAAGAGGGGAAGCCACTCGATCATTGAAGTAGGAAGGCGCTTAAAGTAGATTGAAATATATGGGAATAAAAAAAGACCTACTTTCAACGACCGGTGAACACCGATGAGCAGAGCACGCCTGGGGGCCGAGAGCGCCCCCATGGGTGCGCGGCCTGCCTGTCGCCGCGTGCGCATGCGACAGTTGCGGCCCGTGGCTTTTGGCCTTGGCTCCCCCGCGCCACACACACACACACACAACACACAACACACAACACACAACACACAACACACAACACACAACACACAACACACAACACACAACACACAACACACAACACCCACACACACCACACACACCACACCACACCACACCACACCACACCACACCACACCACACCACACCACACCACACCACACCACACCACACCACACCACACCACACCACACCACACCACACCACACCACACCACACCACACCACACCACACCACACCACACCACACCACACCACACCACACCACACCACACCACACCACACCACACCACACCACACCACACCACACCACACCACACCACACCACACCACACCACACCAAACCACACCACACCACACCACAGCACACCACACAACACCACACCACACCA